GCGCGGCGCAGACCAAAACCATGGCCCATCCAGGTGAGTGTCACTACTTTGGATACGGCAAGAAGTTGCATAGATTCAAAAGTCACAACACTCACGAGGATCCCGGGTTCGGGGGGCCCATGCCTGTGACTGTGGACAAAATTGACGACCCTACGAGGATTTCGGGTGTATACCATGGGGGATACCATACGGGGGGTGTACCGACACGCGACGCGAGACCACACACATCTATATATATATATATATATATATGTGTGTGTGTGTATACATATACATACAAATATATCTATATCTATATCTATATCTATATCTATATATATATATATATATACACGTGTATTTACATATATGTTTGCATGTATCGATATCGTCCTGTGGGCCGTGCTGCGCGCCGCATCGCGCTGCAACTTCCACAGCCGACATGCCGGCAGAACGCCCCCAAAATCATCGGGTTGAACGGAACGAAGCCCTCGCAAACCTGGCGCCGCGAACCGGGTAGCCACTGAGTGGTGCAAGAAGATTTCGCAAGGTGGCTATCGCGAGGATGGCCAAACTTTTGGAGTTGATGTTTCGAACTATTTCTAGGTCGGTGGGGCATCAGTGTCATTGTGTCAGTTAGTGTGTCTATGTCTATGTTGCCCCCGCCTGTGTTTGTTCCCGTGCATGCATTCGGTCAACAGCAGACAAGCGGAACACACAGAGTCGGCAAGGTTTCTGTCAGCAGGCTTGTCATGCAGTCCGCTGGTCATGATGCGGAGGTACGCACACCACCGGATTCTCGCTTTCTGGTAGTGTCGCCGAGTGTGCTGATTGCTGGATTGCAACCTGGCGCGCAGCAATTTGGGAAATTCGAGGGTTGTCCGCGGGATACTTGACACATAAAGCAATCATTATTCAGCATTCGTCGAAAACTAAGGCGGTACAGGATGCGGATTTCGGCCACTGCGGCATGTGTTGAAGTTTGGAAGCAGTTCTGTTCCGGTGGCGGCAGCTTGTGGCAGGCGCTGGATGCGTACATGTTTTCTCAGGGCATTGAGGCGTGTTTCTGGGTTTTTGCCGACTCTGTGGCCCGGTGCGAGGGGCTGCACTGCCTCAGGACTACTTGGGCTTTGCGGAGTACACATTTGTTTGTGCAGGCTTGCGGGCTTCATTGCAAGACCCTGTCCCGACTGGGTCCTCGCACTTCTTCATTGTCTGCCTCATCTGCTGCTGTCGAGATACGTAGTTGGGCGATTGGGCTAATTTCACGGCAAGCAACTGCCGAACTCCTCGGACTCGAGACTCCTTTTCCTTTCGCAGGCCTGCCACCATCAGGCGGTGAGCTCATTGCCCGAATCCCGATGGAAGCTATAGGCCTTTCGGCAGGAGCAATGACACTGACACAGCTTTCCCAGGTCTCCAACATCTCGGGCACTGCGCTGCAGACAGTGCTAAACTCAACTGTGCCGACTTGCACCAAGTGTCGACATGATGACTTTGACATTGCAGTGGGAGCAGTCGGGTGGTCGAGGAGTTCGTCTTCACCATGGAAGGGTTCGGAAGCGAGGATTTGCCTTTGTCCTTGCCTCAGTGCTGTGTCTTGCTCCGCTGGCAGGGCAATTCCATGGCCATGCTTCCAGGACGTACCGTTTCAGCTACATCCAGGACTACGAGATGCCTTTCGTAAGCGGCTTAGCGACCTAGCACTGCAGAGCCCAGGGCCAGGGTGTCACGGCCCAGAATCGGAAAGCCAAGAAAGCCGTGTCGCTCCATTCCAGAAGCGCTCTGGCAAGACATCTTCTACAGACTGCTCAGTTTCGATGGAGCGAAGGCTGAAGCTGTTGAGCTCAACATCGCGTACACGGAGCAGAACTTCATCAAGACCAGGTCAGCCGCTGCAATGCACCTGCAGTCCTGTCATGGTTTCACTCCTATCCAATGCACGTTCGGTATGGGATCGGCAGGCTGCCACAGGGTCTGGTCGGGAGTCAAAACTTTCTGAGAGTTGCCGGGGGCCAAGCAAAGACAAGACTAACAAACTCAGCAACGGGTGAAGTACGCCAGAGCAGTGCAGCTTGCTTGACCCACAACTGCCAACTGATGCAGATTGGCACCGTCAGAAGTTCACGGGGAGCGACAGCGCCACACTCTCAGGAAGCCACCCACGTCGACTTTGCTCTTTCCGCTTTTCTAGATAATTCTAGAAGGAGTCTTTGGGCACTCCATAGATTGCCAGTGACACATCACGATGCCCCGGTCGTTTGCGAACGTGGGCCAAGGCAAGCTACTGTCGAGGTCTCCGTGTCTCCCCCTGGGCAGCAGGCCATCACCGACATTGTCAACCAGGCACCGCGTCAGATGAGGTCAGGTAGTCGATCCAATCCGTTTGGGTGTGCCGGTTGAGGTGCCACTGGTCGATCCGGAGACTGCCATCTTCTTCACCACCTTGTTCCTTGTTTGCACAATGTTCACGATGGGAATATAACTCTCAAGCTGATATAGGCAGAAGTGCAAGTGCTGTGACCGCTTGTGCTTGCCTAGCATGCTTCTGGGGACGTGTTGCCGTGAATTGCGATGTTGGTAACACGCGACTTGGATCAGGTTGGCAGACACGGAGGCCATCAGAAAGGGATCTTTCCCAAGTTATCTTTGCAAAGATTAGTCTTTTCAGGCAGCCTCCGACGTGGAGGTCAGCAATGCGCTGCAGGCGCCAGCTTGCTCGAGCGGGACAGCTTGCAAACAAACTGATACTTGGAGGTCACCCGGGAAAAGATGTTCGTGCAGCGCTCGGCTTTTGGCGACCATGGTCCTTGCGGGTTATGGGGTGCAACATTGAAATGCTTGTGACACAGGGCAGCACCCGAGCAATTGCTTCCACTCCAGAGGCAGGTACCCAACAGCAACTTGCCACTTGCGTGCTCGCGGCTATCCTTCGCGACTTCGCGATAAGCCCATTTCGCGGCTTGCACACTTGTATATGCAGCAGCTCGTGGGACCAAGCCTGACGCATCACAGTACAGAAGGCGCTGTTGATATCCGATTAAGTGCCAGCGCGAGTCTTCACTTCTGTAAGTGTAGGTCGAGGTTGAGCCCTCTCGCCCGCAGGAATCCACTTCCAATGCCATTGCAGGCAGACGCCGGCATGGACGGAGTGACGCCGCGTTCAAGTGCAGGAAGTAATCCACCCTTCGATGCCAAGGATGTGCTAGTGACATGGTGACATGGGAAGAGGCCGACCTGCAGTAAAGTCACGAGCCGACCCGACTGCCAAAAGGGCAGAGCGAGAAAGGCAGGCCAATCCTTGGCTAGATGCCGACTCGATCTGCAGCTTCGCAGCCGGAGGATGGACTGGTCGAGAGTTCTTAAATGCAGATGACGCGGGTGACCTGAAGGGGATCTTCGGTCATTGCATCGTAGCGGCTGGCAACCGGATTTGGTGTCTTGGTGGGTGTCGAGAGACCAGGCCACTGTCAAGAAAGATGTCCGTCCTGGAGCTCCAGCTTGAGAGCAAGACCTGGGTGGATCGATTGCATTTGCTGCCTGACGACTCCGTGCCATGCTGCAGATGGGGGCATGCAAGCTGCTTGGTCCCCAGCAGACCAGCCCCCGGGCCGGCCGAGCAATTTCTTTGGCTGGCCGGCGGCTTCAACAGCCACTGCAACCTGAACGATGTTTGGCGTTTCTGTCCAACTGACGGAAGATTTGCTGAAGTAGCGCCGGAAGTGCACAGCCTTCCCTATCGTGCAGCCTATCATTCCATGGTGTGTGACGACGTGGCGAAGCGGCTCTTGGCGTTCGGTGGCCAGTGCTGTGTGGGAGGACCTTATCGCTTCTTCGACCGTGTCCTATCTCAGTTGTGGTTACATGGCCGTTTCTGTTTTACAGTCGTGTGATACGAGCTCTAGTAGGAGATTTGGGTGCCGAGGCGTGGTCATGCATCAGCTATGCCGCCCCATGTCTGGTTGGCAGGCACGAAACAATAATGCTCCTCGCCTCGCTGGTTTTGAGTGTTGAAATGTAATGTGAGGGAACAGAAAGTGCTGTCTTGTCCACCGTCCATACTTGTAGCAGCAAGCACAGCCCCTGAGTTGGAACGTTGAACCCTGGGACATGCAATGATTTGATGACGAACCTTCTGTCAAGTCCGAGAACTATGGCAAATCTCTGTCCAGGGGTTGGATGAGAACCTCTTAAGGTTTGTCTGCCCTCCAGCCCCCGTCGGGTTCGGATTGAGAAGGTCCGTTCAAAGCTGGAAGCTTCAGCTTCAAGCAGGAGGTTGGGTTTTCGTGGAATTGAGGCTGCGAGGTTGAGTGCCTGAGCGATTGGGGTCTGGCGCTGCAGGATTGGGCTCAGCAGTCTCAGTGTCCTGTGCAGGCAGTCCGGGTTGAAGGACCCAGCCCGGCAGCACGAGCTCAGCACGCGGCAGTTCCAGCCACAGACAAGACACAATGCGCAAACGTTTTGTGAACATGCTGCGCTGCAGAGTCGCGCCGACACCGAGGCAATGACTACGTCTGGGCTCATGGTCATTCATGGTGGCGGAAATGCGACACGAACCTTTCGAGACGTGAACTGACTAGATCAAGTTCTCATGCGGATCCGCTGTGACATAGTGGACCCTTGTGGGGCTGAATTCGAAGCCAGGTCTGGACATTGCATCTCAGCCCGGCTTACTGGTCCGAGGCTGGCACAAGGGCACGAGCCTCCGAAGGCACGAACTTGTCATGCCAGGTCAAGATCTTCGGCCGCATTCGGCCGTGGATATCGCTACAATTAAAGCACCAAGATTTTAACGTCGCACCTGGCCTGCTTGTTCTTCCTGCCTGCCATGCCTGTTGCATCGCATGACGTCGCATGGCATGTTTGCGAGATCTGTAAGCCGCAGCCACAGCACAGTCAGCATCGTCTCAACCATGCGAAGTGCATCCTGAACAGATTGAACTTGGCATGGTTTAGAGGATCGAGGGCACGACAAGTATCGGGCTGCCCCTGTTGCGCTGCAATGCAGCAGCTACCCCGCCAGCCTCCAGAATCCTTTGCTTCCGCGGCTTGCCCTGCAGTGTACATTGATGACACACTGTCTCTTTGGGGAGGAACAGGAACTCGCACTGCTTGCGGATCTGACAGGTGGTGGTTGAACTGGTAGCTGCCCACCGCCGAGAACTGCAGGCCCAATGTGTCCAATTCCGGTAGATTGCCCCAGGTGTGCGACAACAGACCTTCGCAGATCTTGCCAACATTTTGCAGTGCAGCAGTTTGGAAGGCAGTCAGGGAGCGTTTCGACGCGAAAGTTGCCCCTGTGCCAACTCTGCGTGAGGCACTGTAAGGCAGGGCAGCCCAAGGCACCGAAGTGACAGCGATCTGCACTGAGGAATCTGGGCTGCAGAGTTGCGGCGAAGTGGCAGAAGAACTGGCGCCTGATGAGATGAATCTGTTCGCAGCCATGGGGCAGAAGCTCGGCCATACCACTTCAACCCTGCAGTCTAGTGCCTAATGGCTTGCTAAAGTAGGGGCTGGTACGAAATGTACAAAGCACGAAGACAGCTAGCAGCTAGAAACGGCAAACATCAGTGATAGTTTCGGGCAACACGAGCTCTCCACATCTTGATTGCTTAGCTGTGAAGAGGTGTTCGCCTGCTGGCCTGGACCAGTCTCCACCGAGAACCGAGTCCTGGGGCCGCTGCCCTTGCTCAGCGCATGCTTCGAAAGCATCGCTGTGTCTGTAGTCATTAGATGTCATCAGCCTCTTTCTGACCGAAGCAAGGACCCCGATCAGAAGCACAGCCGCTTCATCTTCCAGCTTGGGGCGATTCGGTCAAGGTGGCGGCGCCTGAGAACACAAGACCAACAGAGAACGAGGATGCTCCCCAGACGCAAGGTGGTCTGAGGGTTTCGGCTCGATTCCAGTGGCCAAGAATATGGCTTTGCTCCACTATCTGCGTTTTTCTATGTACTTTCATGTTGCAGTCATGCTGCTGCCACTGTAAGTCCTACCCCCTGTGTTTTCGGCTAAAGAACGGCCACAAGCCGTTCCACGACTTCTCTAAACTTTTCGGTTCTCCAGTTGAAAACTGAAAAAGTGGCTCTGGCAGTGTCGACGTTTGCCGGAGGAAGAGCATGTGTGCGGTAGGCGTTTTTTTCGGGGGGAGCCGGCCGGGCCGTTGGCTGACCTGGTGGCGCTAGGAGAAGTGCCGGCTACGTCGTGTCGCGTGTATTGTAGCAAAGCAGCATTTCAGGCTCGAGCTGAACAGCCTCAGCATTTTGAGAACGTAAGTGCGACATGCCCCGACGAGCCTGAACATGCAGACTTGGTGCGCCCGAGGTGCTGCCTGCAGCAGGCCTGCAACCTGTTGATGCGCTTCTTGTCCGCGTTTTGCCTTGTCAAGTCTTACATAAAGCAATGTGAATCCATAGTCTCGTCATGGTATGAGCGTGCCTTCGTGCAGGCTTGTGGTGTTGTCTGTGTTTGTGTCTGACAGTACAGGAAGAGTCTCTTGCTGAGGTCTGCGCGTGGGAAGATGGTGAGTTCATCAGAGCGGCAGGACTAAAGACCCGAGCCAGTGACCGTACTTGGAGTCTCTGCAAAGCTGTGCCAGGAGCACCGGCTGGCAAGAATGAAGGAGGCTCGAGAGTTGCCCAGCATTCCTCTTTGTCACCTGCCTACCTGTAGCCTTGGCCTTGCTGCAGGCCCTCGCTCAGCATCAGCAAGTAAACCAGGCGGCCAGTGTTGGAAGGAGCTTCGCACAGCCCCATGCGTTCGTCGTTGGTCCTGCATCAAGCTGGTCCGAGCGACAGGAAGCGGCGCTTCGCGTTGACCCAGTCCTTCAAGGTGGATTGCTCGGACGGCGTAAGTGTGAAGTGCATCGTACAGTCCGGGGCTAAGCTCAGCTTGGGTTTTGGCGCCCCTCGATTCCCGAATCGACATCAGCGAGCTTAGGCATCCGATGTTTGACACGGTCGCGGCAGAGACTTGTCTGTCATGGCTGGGCAGAGTCGAGGAGAGCGTGTGAGCATTCAGGTTCCTCCTTTAGCGGTTTCGATGCTGAGGTCATGATTATTGTGAACTCTATTTTGATGGGATGGGAGACGGAGGCATTGACGACCAATACTTCGACTCCCGGATTTGATGGTTGCTCAATCTTGCCAAGCCCTGACTCGCTTGCATATGTTTGCGCATGGACAGTTAAGATTCATCCGTGAGACTAAGCTTACCCAAATGCTGGGTAATTGCTGAGCACAAAGGATGCCGGAATCGCTCGAAATCATGATGATTCTCTGTATCCTGGCTCTAATTCCGTTTGTTTCGCAAGGAATGGTCGCACCATGTTGCAAGCAAAAAGCCTTTGCCAGCCATGCAGCCAAGGCAATATTTATTTTTGCTTGGTCGTGGTCCAAGCTTCCTGCTGCATGCCACTCTTTTGAAGTGTAGCTCGCGCAGAGGAAATTCTGATGCGTCTCGCCGGACTACGTGCCGGTTTCTTTGTGGAAGAAAGCAGGACGCATAATGGGCATAATGGACAGTTTGACTTGATGCACACCTGAGCTTTAGATCAAACGGGGTTTGTGGCGAGGAATTGGAACTTGTTTGATCTGGGCCTTGTCTTGCTGTGCCCCGTCGAAACATTTAACGTGCTTGAATGGATGCACTCTGGGAGCCCGGAGTTTCTCAAGCATGCAATTTGCTGGGCAACTGCAAGGTCCCTGGTAGATACCTTCATATTATATCAGCAGGATGGGCTCAGCGCCACAAATGCTCCTTGCCCCGAAGTCGTGCTGGACGGTGCTCACTGATTTCTCGGTCACGACAAGGCAGCCTCAGTGAAGCACTCAGGTTGTGGCAGGAGCACCTCGGCGCCGAGTGGCATCTGATGGCACGGCCTTAACCGTTAAACAGTTCACTATCACTATGAACCAGTTCGTGCAAGTCGGGCATCAAGGACTATATAAGTAGGAGCGACGGTGGACTTGAAGCACTTCACATCAGAATGTGCCTGGATGGTTTGCTTTTGTGGACATCCTGTTTTTGTCAAACTATGCTTTTGGCGGCTGAAGGTGAAGACGCTCAAGATGCTCAGAATAATACGGGTGTTTCGAGTCTTCCGCTTCTCATCGGCTCTTTCGCGAGTCGCTCTCATGAGCCCTGGCTGTCAAAGCCCCGGTCGCGCACACAGGTGCGCACATGTCAAACAATAGCGACATGGTTTGAAGCGGATCGTGCATGAGGATCGTGGACTCGATGAAGTCACTTCTCTGGGCGCTGATTATGCTGGTTCTTGGGCAGAACATCGCACCTGTCGGCCTTACATGGCTGCAACGGCTTGATCGAGAGACCAGCTGCGTTGAATGGTTCAAAGGCGATCGTCGTGTACGTTTTCGCGATCAGCCTGACGACGAATGCAGCAGATTGGATAAAGCTAGAGAGCCTTGGTAGCATGTTGGTGGCAGCTCGAACAACAAATTTCATCAAGTTATCTTCGCAACTGCAGGGTAAACACTGCCAATCCCAACTGGCTCGAGCTGCATCCTTGGCTTGCATGTAGGATGCTGCATTGACAAAGTCTTGAGGCGTTCAGCTTCAACCGTGCCAGGTTGGTGCAGACGAGCTCAGACCCCACGATGCAAATCATGTTGAGGCGCTTCAAAAATGGGCTGCGCTCGTAACACCTCCCTGCCCGGCTTTTGCGCTGTTGCGAGGAGGTTTGGGTCGCTGTCGAAAACAGTTCCAAACTCAGACGGTAGTAACGGTAGTGCTCGTGCAGTCCACAGCGCCGCAGCTGTCGGACCCGAGGCCTACACCCTGGTTCAGGCAATGCTGGGTGGTTTCAACTGGGGTGAAGTCTCTGATGTCCTCATGGATGTTGACGTGAACCCTGGCTTTCACGGCTGGCATTTGCCTTCTGCCCGGCTTGGTGTTGTGACAGCCCCCGGGCCAAGGATCTCGCCTGCTTTGCTGCTTCTTTATGTTGCCTTTACGATGCTTGCCGCGACTGGGCTGGCGATTTGTGCACGTGTGTAATGAGTGTAATGCTGCTCTGCTGTCGTCTGCAGAAGCGAGAGTTTGGTCAGTGCTGTGCAGTATTACCAGTTCCTTAAGGTCCTCAACGTGATTACAGGCCTGTTGCACCAGGAGCTGCTAGAGAGGCTGGCAGTCCTACCTGGGTGTTTGAGTTCAGGCGCATTCGTGGACAACGCCCTCAACCTGGCAAGCCAGCAACGTGACTTCCAGATCGAGAAAGAAATAGAATCCAAGGCATCGCGGGCGGCCAGGTGGGAGTGGGACGGAGACTAGCTGCATTGATGCCAGGAGCAGTATGCGAGCCAGATTCGAGCCCTCTTTCAGATGCTTGGCAGGGCATCAAGCATGGTAAAGGTTTGCAGCTCGCCAGTTTCGGTTGGGGGAGAGGGAGAGGCAGCAACACGACACCCTGCAACAGCGAGTCGCAAATGAGTGCTATAATTTCAAACTGAGAAAATGCGAGCACACAGTGGGAGGGGCTGTGAGATGGACGCCTAGTTCAGTTCCTTCGCCTTCGGCACGCGGCTTCGTAAGCATAGAAAGAAGGAGGCAAGATTCAGAGTAAACAGCGGGTCACCGAGTGGCCGTGATCCCTTCAGAATTCAGTTGTTTCACCTGAGTCAGCATGGAACCCGACCTGCAGCTGAGATTGCCCTCTTGAGCCACTGTCTTGGTCTGCATCACCAAAGCCGCCACCATGTGTGATTCTGGCCCTGTGTAGGCGGGGGGTTGGTCAGGTTGCACAGCAGTAGGGACGGATGTAGTGTTCCTATGAGAACGGGGTGGAAGCTTCAGCAGCATGGTCACGCTGCCAGAGTAGGTCCTGGCCGTTCGCCAGCATCCACTGTTTGCTTGAATCGAGTGCACGGCAATGCAGCAGCGGTTGCCCCGAATCTCGGGGAGTGAATCCTAAACTCAGGCGAAGGCTTGAAGCTGTATGCATGGGGCCGGAGGTCCATTGTTTCAGCATCGGAGAGTGAGTTTACGAGAGTAATAATAAAGCTTTAGCTGAATTGGTACGGTCGTGCATTGGTCTAGCAGTCTAGCATCCCAGAGTCCCACCACGAGGGCGCGAGTACAAGGTTGAGAACATGAGACACATCAAGGAGAGGTCCATTTGGGGTCGGTGTCCGTCCGGTGTCATGCCGGCGTAAGCGGCGGCGGGGTGCCCGGAAGAAGAAGAAGAAGCATAAGTAAAGAACCATGGGGGAGAAAGAAAGACAGGGCGAAAGAAAGGCAAACAGAACCAAGGACGATAGATGATGATGGCTCCGGCGATGTCAGTCGCAAGGAAATTAGGTGCGGCTGCGAAACTGCGCTTGATTTCGGAGCAGTCGCCAAATACATGTGCAACTTCGAATCTGCTAAACTGGAGGGAGATGTTGGAAGATGCAACCCTTTCGGCATACTTCCGAGTTCTTGGTTTCGAAACGACAGATGCTGCCGCCCTGTTGCACTCAGCAGCAGCAGCGACTCCGAATTTTCATGGTTGCCGACTTCGCCCAAACATGCCGCGCAGTCAAGGACTTGCTGTTCAGATTGCTGGATGTGGACGACTCGGACACCGTCAGTATGCAGGATACTGCGAGACTGCTTCTATAGGGACAACGGCCCAGGTCTGCACCTTTGCCTTTGCCTCGATCTCGCGGAGTGTCGGTTTTTCGCGCTTTTGGCAGGAGTTTCTTGATGGTTGTGGCCGGCTCAAAGGCCCGGCTCGCAACATGGACGTCCACGCCATCTTGGCGGTGTCTTGCTAGTGAAAGAGAGACCTCTCCGCAGCACTGCTGCCACTGCTCATGCGACACTTGTCCGGCTAAGGAATGTCGGCGGATGAGGAAAGCGCCCCATAGCTCAAAAAAGACGTCGGTTGCCTAAGGCCTAAGCTGGTCGGATGTTGGCGATTTTTCTCGGCGTGAGACAACTCGGTTTGTGGTTGCTACATCCATCTTCGGGCTCGCCTTGTCACCATGCAGCACCATGCACAGCATGAACAGACTCTTGCTTCCATGCATCAGCACGGCATGCCACTGATGGGAAAGGCCCCGCTTCTGATGTTGCAGACTAGACATGGTTTCGTGCAAATGAGTTTAACTTGCAGCCGCATTTTCGGGTCGATTGAACGAGCTTTCGAACAGTTTCGAGTTGCGATCATTCACTCCACCTTATCAGTCACTTCCTCAGGGTTCCTCTTCAAATGTGTGCAACGCGGCGTTTCCAAATCTGACGCGCTTGAAGTGAGGCTTGGACAGAAGAGCTAGTGACCGCGAGTGGTGCGTGAGCAGCGGATGAGAGCCTGCTGGAGCATGTCAGTGTTCTGCTATGTTCTGCTGTACTGCAAGAAAGCATGTAGACCTGATAAAACTTGTAGCAATCGATGTGCTCACATCTGATAAGTCGTCGAATCATTGCCGTTCGGCAAACTGTTTCAGAAACCTTGTTTAGTCCATACGTGGAATGCAGTCTGGCCAGAATGGCTGAGACAGCAGTCGAGCCGTGGTAGCTGGTCCAAAGTGGCAGCTCGAGTAGCACATGTGTTCGCGTTCCAGAATTCCACGAAGCGGTGGACAAACCACTTTGAGCCACAGGATGTTGGCCTTGTAGTGCTACAGCAGGACAAGGAGAGGCCTCATTTCATGGCAGGTCATCGCGTGCCGGCCATTCATGGCGGCGCATCACAATGGCATCATGGTTCTGGGTCGCAACAAGCATGCGGGAGCAATCGGCGACGCAGGCATGCTACATCTCGTATCGCCAGCTTGTGCTTTGCCTTCACATGCAAGCTCCGGAAGGTTCTCTGGGGCTTTGGACATTGAACTTGGACACGCCATACTGGCGTCCCGTCAGGGCGACAGGTGCGGTGCGTGTGCGCAGTGAGAACGACGGAGTATTCCTTTTTCCGGCCTCGATCAGGTTCTCCGGCTTGGGCTGGGAACTTTGCTGCGACCGTCGTGGACGCTGAGAACTGCTCCTTGCAGGGCAGAGGATGGGCCATCGTCACGGGACTCTGATGAAAGCAATTGAACTCATGGACACTTGAACTCATGGAGCCAGGCATGGCGCTGCTGGTCTTTGGCGGGGAAGACGCAGGAGAGTCCAGTCAAGCAAGTAGTCGGCACCTGAGTTGAGCTGACAGCTTGAACTCCTTTTGGATCCTTCTTTCGGCGCTGGTATGCGCTGGTCGTGCCAGCAACTAGCTTCTTTCGAGACGCGTCCTATCAGGCTCGCGAGGAATAGGCCCACCCCTTGCACAAGGAGGAGCGGTGGCACCTGCTATCACTGACTATTACGTACTAGTTAGTGACTGACTTGAGCAAGGACCACAAACTGCAGAAAAAGTACAGACATCAGGACTGTGGCGCCTTGATCTTACTGCGCGGCCTAGCGAAATACTGCTACGGACACTGAGGCTCGGCTTACATCCTGTGCTGCACTTCTTTCGCGCCTGCCATGCCTTCCAGTCAGGCGAGCTTGCCGAGCAAGGTCAGCCAGTCTGCCGGAGGAAGCCTTGGAGGCTCGCTTCTTGTCGGCACGGAGGGAGAACTCGGCTTGTCTCAGCTGAGGTCATCATCAGTTTCACCTTGGGGCAGCTGCAAGACGTCGCCGCTGCCACTGTCCCAAACATGCGCGGAAAGAAAAAGATACCGGTTCTGGAAAACAAGACGCCACTCCGAGCAACTGCTGTCACACTGGCCGCAGATGGTGTCTACAGTTTCCGACATGCTGACATCCGTAATCGACAAGGGCATCACCACAGATCAAGACAGGACCTCAGGTGTGTTTACTGTTGCCGGTAAGCTTCGGGAAAGAGTTTGCCAGTTTGGTTCCTGCAGGTCGTGGATTTCGTGGGGACCATGGTAAATCTGCTTCACGCCAAGATCGTGTGTGAGTCGAGCTTGAGCCCACGAACTGCAGACTGCCTGCTCGAAGGTCTGTCGATCTCGGTTACATCGCAGCAGATGCCTCTCTGGGTTCGACGGTGTTATGCCGAGATGTGGGAAAGATTGCAGCACATATGTCACAATGTGTTTCAGATCCAGTTCCTGTCGTGCGAGCTGAGGACCTTGTGGATGTCACCTTGGGCCTGCTCACTTCCGAGATACTTGTGAACGTGTTGATTGGGTACCGTCGCTGTAGCCTCCAAAGATCCTGATTGGAGGTTGTACGCTCTTGATGCCATTATCCCGGGCGTCGCTACAACCCTACATCCAAGACTAGCCATATCACTGAAGCCGATGGCATGTCGAGTTCAGGTCCCATCTTACGAAGAGGCAACTGCGAGACGCTTAAAAGGCGGCCGTGGCATGGGTGGCAAGGTGTGGTGCTTAGCTCGACATACCGGGCCTGAAAGGAAAGATGAAGGGCAGACCCGCCCATGCAGCCGCCCATGAGGTTCCCTGGCAATGGATTCGACGTCTGCAGACCTCAGAGACACGAGACGGGGAGACAATGTACGGCCCTCGGGCATTGGGCCACGTGGGGCCAAGCCATGCCAACCACATCGCCCATGCTTCAGGTATCGACAGTTTTTGCTATCAACAGCAATGACCAAGCAGCTTACGGATGCGCGCAGCCCAGGATAGACTCGGATAGACTAGCACGGAGTGACGACTCAGCTGTTTCTGGAATCGCTCGCTGGTTGCCTTCTTCAGGTCATCCATGCACAGATATATCCTGGTGAGGCGACAGGGTTCGGGAGACGCCCTGCACGTCCCAATGCCCAGCTCCGGCCGGATTCCAAAGAGTTGGTGCCAGGTTCCGGTTAGCTTCGCACTGCCTGGCCAAGACATATTCATGGGCCCGCTTCCGAGCTTTCAAGAGCTCCCCTTCTCAGAGTAATCGATCGAGAACGCTCATGACGGCGCAGGTAAAGACTTCAGTGATGCGGACGACGAGTCGCAAAACTACGCACGGGTCACCACTTTGCCACCTAGCCGCACATAATGCGGGCGTGTCAGACATCGCCAGCTCGTCGGCAAATGCTGATGGCACCGCAAGTGCGGCTGCGTTTGTGTAAAAGTGAGCCGAGGTTCGACCTCCCAAGCCTCCTAGCCGCACTAAGGGCGTCTGCAGAGAATCGCCACGGCGCTGTAAGCATGTCGAGGCCTTGAGCGCTCAGGGCTGCCGAGCACTTTCAACTACAGGTACGTGCAGTTCAAGCCAAGACCTCATGGTCTCAATCGTTTCATTCGTGAATTTGGGGACCTGCAGTGTTGAGGAAGTTTCCATACGACTTCCTGGTCATGCCGGGCAACCGCAGCTTGTGAGCAGCCGAGATGACCATCCCCCCTCTTCACTCCTCGCTCTGCTCCTGCACTCTGTCGTTCTGCGCTGCTGTCCCCAAAGGGAAGCTCCTGCTCCGGCAAACGAAAGCAGACCCGAAGTGCAATCTCTGGTGCCAGCATCCCAGAAAACGCAGCACAAGATTGAGCTACGAGCTTCCAGCTGCGATTGGAAAGGCCGCCCCAGAATATCAACCCAAGTGAGAGGCCACGCAGCAAACCTGACCATGGGCCCATGCCGCAGATGAGACAAGCTTGCCTGGCAGGCTTTGGCACGCCATGTCTCTCGTCATTACAGACGAGGCTCGGATCACAGCTTCAAGCTCCTATCCGGAGTTCCTAGGGGCGAAGGACAGTCAGAATCTCGCAGGCTGGAGAAAGCAACTTACTCGAAAGGCGCGCTGCATATTGAGGGCTCAGTTGATTCGTGCCTAATCCGTCCACGAGCATGTGCCATGCAGGTCCATCGAGAATGCCTCATACTCTATGCTGCCAAAGATTGCCGCGTGACATCTGCGTCCTTTTCTGGCTGATGTTCCCATCGAGCCGCAGAGCAGCAAAAGGGTCAGATGCGCTACAAAGCTGTACAGGTACGATACTTCCAGCTTCGGGAATGTGGAGCACAAAACTCAGCCAGTTTGAATCTGGATGCCTCAAGCTGTAGGTTCTGTGCCAGTGTTGTAAACTTGGCAGGAATCCGTCCACGTGCTACTGGGTCGACCTGGGCAATGGCAACTTCAGTGAAGCTGCGTTCGATGCCCGGGGCTCCGTCTTCAGCGAGGCAGGTTGTCATGTCATGGTGCCTGGTCACGGTCAGTGGCTCACTCACATGCAACCGGAAGCTTGCGGGAGGATTCCTGCATCACCATGCATATGGAAAACTTCATCGTTCTGGCAGACGACTTGGCCGCGCAGACCGGCCCTCTGGAAGTGACGGTCAGAGGATGTTCTCTTTGGAAGAGCCTGACTCTTGAGGCTAGATGTTGTGCAGCAGCAGTCTCCGGGAGAGTTGCTGAGCAGTGGACTTGGGCGCTGTGCCACCAGCATGCCACCTGTGGCTGTCGTTGTCTGCAACAAGGATGCGGACTTCTGTAGAGAAGCCGTCTAATTCTATCTACACTTGCCGTACTGCGCAGCTGTTGGTGCTGGAGAAAAAAAGTATTCATGAAGCGCACCTGAGACTTGGGGCATGCGAGATCATCTTGAGGTCAATATGAAGATGATTTCACGACCACAGCGAATGTTGTCTCGGCGGTGGGGCTTGCATGTTTGATGTGGCGGCTCTGTATCGTCACACAGACAGTTAGTGCTTCGGCGCTCTTTGGCAAGTGTTGTCAAATTGGAACTTATGCCGCAGACTCTTGTCCTTGTGGCTTGCGCTGGATTCGCACCGAGCTCGGAACAGTCGCAGTATGTCGTTTCCGTACGGACCATGTCTAGCCTGTCGCCAATCTTGCAAGCCTGTCACCTGTGAGGTCATGGTGTCCGTGTACGTGGACGAGCATGACGCATCCAACAAAGCTCAGGGCTTACTGGCATTGTGGGGACAGCATGACACCAACTAGCAGAATCTAGCGAAGGACATCAGAGTCAAACCAAACAGAGACCAATGCGTACAACTGCTGCCTACGCAGCGCGAGCAGTCGTCATTCCTGGGAGAGTCGGGGCGGCTCCGACTTTCTCTCAAGGACAGCACCCCTTGCTCGTCACAGTGCCGAGCTCCTGTAACTTTTCCTCTGTCTGTTGTCCAGACGGTCGCTTCCCAGTGGGCACCAACAGGGCAATAATAATGACTGCATCTTTGGTTGCAAGATGTTGCAAAGCATGTTTTTTGTCTCAATCTCGTGTTTACTTGCACTGCAATGACCAATCCTGCCTTCTACTCTGATCTCTTCATTTGCCATCTACAGCTTTTACATAGCATCTGCCCCTGGCGGTGCATCTTTCAACTAGATTGATAGAGGTGACTCCGCTTGACAGCTTGAGAACGCAAGTGATTGCCTGAGCCCCAGTCAACCTGCAATACTATGCAGTGCGATTGACATGTCGTCTGGTTGAGCTTTCAGTCTCCAACGGCTTATCATCGGACTGTGAGATGTGACGCGCAGGATCGGGAGGATCCGAAGGAGAAGGTTTTGGGAACCATCTTCCAAGCGATGAGGTGCCCCAGATGTGTATTCATACTGGAAGACGTCTTTCGTAATGTGCTTGCATTTAGAGTCTGGTATGATAGACAATGTCGCAAGAACAGATTCTGTCCTGAGACGAGCTTCAGCAGGCGAAATCACTTGGTCATCGGCTGGAACTACTTTCACCTGAAACTCACACGGGTCCGCAGGGCCTGGTCCTTAGCTGCCAGGCGGAGCGATCCAGCAACTTTTTGTCCGTTGTGAGGCAGGGATCTTTGTCGTGGCGATTTTCGCGACCGAGGCCATGAAACAGTACACGTCGGATGTGACAGTGTTTCGATAGACTTGACTCATTGAGCCCGTCGCTGAAGACTGCATGGTTGTTCGACCTGGTCGGGAGGCGTTTTTTTCTCTTCTCTAGCCACATCTGTAGGGCTTGCACATTGACCGTTCATCGAGCGAGAAAGCACGCTGCCTTTCCAACTTTCAGTCGCATTGCATGCTATCATGTCTAGGGTGCAGTCAGGCGCTGGCAGTTCTCCAGCACTCACTCTTGGCCTTCAAGGACTGCGTAGTCTGTGCAAATCCCTGTCAGAGACCTGTGCGTCTCTCGTAGGCAGACTCAGCTTGGGGAGCCAGTGGACTCGTTGCCGCTGTGCTGGTTTTTCCATTGGTGTGGCTCTCGCAGTTTCTGCAGTCGCAGTTGCCTCCATGCTTCAAGGCCGCTTCTAGTTGCTTCGGGCTCCAACCCGCGTGGCACTGCATCACGCAAGACAGGACTTACATGAGTGACGATTCCGCATCATTTCTTCATCTGCCGCCGTAAAACGGGTACGAGATGCTGACTTCGATCGCATGCCAGCCGTAGCTAGTAGCACGCTAATTAACGGTTTTCGTTCACTGTGATGCAATGCGACGTCCATTCCTTTGTTGGCCATGTCCAACGTAAGCTTTGTTGGCGATGAAGCCTGGATTATATCGTGGCGTGTTCACGGGCGTCTTGTTGGCACTGTGCCGTGGAGATCAAGATGCAAGTTGGAGTTGCAATGTTGAAGATGAGGGCCGCCTGTCCACTTGGCAAATCATGAAGAAGGGAATGTGGGATCGTGTTCGTGAGGCCAAGATTGTATCAATGCATCCAAACTTGTTGATGCAATCGGCAATGGCTTTAGAATCGCCAAACACAGCCCACAAGTGTCCACTGGGAGTATTGGCATGTCGTTTGTTTCTTTTGGACATAATACCGGATTTCTTCTCCCGCCATGATGATGAAGATGTCGTTGCCCTTTGGATGAAAGTGCTGCTGCACGAGATTCTAGACACCCCCTGGCAAAGAATTGTGCAATCTGGATGGCCGATCTTTGGGCTTCTGGCCCGTCTTGCCAAGCAGGAGTTCTCGAACTTTACGAAGATCTCAGCTGATAACATTTGGCAGCAGATGTCCTGGGAAAAGGTCTTGGCAGATTCTGATGTGGAGAAAGCGCAGACGATTCTCAAGTCTGCAGGCAATTTGATGGAGACCTTCGTTCAAGATGGTTCGAGCGCATTCTGGTCCAGACTCTCCTCTTACACTGAGGAATATATTTTCCGTACTGCCCTCCAGCTCGGGCCAGTGCACGCAGAGACCGTGATTTTATACTTCCTGCGCAACCTTCATGACGAGTTTGGTGGATTCTCTGGATCAATGGATTCATTCTTCCAGCACGTTTTGGCTTGGTTTCCCCATCATACTCTTTCAGACATGAGGTGTTGGGATGTTGGTGCGGCACCATGGCCGGACGAGTCAAATCGCCGCGACCGTGATGTGTGGGAGATCTGCAGGAGCTCCGGTCTCCAGACGGAAGCTTTCGAACCATCCCAGATTGGCTTCGACCGACTGCAAGCCACTGCGTATCAACTGAACCCGTCGGTAAGGCTGCATCAGCTGGCCGTGTCGAACACAACGGGCCAAAGTGGCTTCAACCGTGGCGGCCAGGTTACGGGGTCTCTCGGCCAGCGCGGCTGCAACTTGGCATCATACAGACTTGTTTCAGCTTCTTCTGCCCATCCTGCAGTCGGGATAGACTTCTTCTGCGATTTGGGGATGAGCGGGGTTACTCACGGACTCACTCTTGACTCACAGCACACGCCCGCAACAAGTGGCTCAAGGCCAGATCCCACCCCCGGGAACCTGTTTTCCCGCCCACTGAAGCCCGGCTCGATGGGAAACAAGACGTCCCAGCAGAGCATGGATGGAGTCATTGCTGCTGGCGTTGCGCAGGGCTTTGCGAAGAGCGAAGCACGCTGGAAGCTCAGAGATGCTCAGAGCCCGAGTCTTAGTCGTGCGAGGCTGTAGCGGTTGGTTGCCGACACAACTGAGGAGCGTTCCCCTCCTTCATTCCGCAGCAAATCGGCCCACCAACGAAGTATGCACCTTGCTCTGCATTCCGCGGCCCTCGTTCCTCGGCACCTCGGCTCGTGACATGCATCCGGTAAGGCCATGAACCACAGCCACTGGATGCACTTGATCCTCATCCTGCAGGCCCTTTCGTGGAATGTTCTGTGTTTCTCATGACCCCGTCGCTGAAGCTGTCCAGGCTGCTGCTTGCATCCTTCGAGGAGTTGTCTTGTTTGATCTCCTGGGCTGCTTCTGGATGGCATTGATCTGCGCGCTTGGCTGGTATGCCTGGTACCACGACTCTTGGCTCAAAGGTCCAGTTACGAGTGCAGTTCGTCAGCTGCCATTCAGATTCACTAATCACTAATCTGTGCTCATCTGCGTGCGGACCCGAGGAGATGAACATAACATACATTTCACTTTGGGGCCTAGCTTGTGCTCTAAACACCCTGTTGGATACACTGGGATTCATCATCCCGGTAGCTACGGGCTTGATCAAGTTGGAGCTGCTGTCAGCCATCGTGCGCCACTTGCCTCGTGTAGTGGTAGGACGAAGAGAAGATCTGCTATCAGCTGCATCTGGTGTTGTAAGAAGACCTCCCATGCCCTAAGATCACACAAGGTATCGGGACGCCTTGTACGGAAGTTCTTGGAGCCCTGTTTGCATGGCACTTGTACCGGGAGTACCAGTTTTCTCACGGCATGGAGCCGGTCTCCAGTATCGACCCACTCGGCAGGACTGCTTCTGTTCCAATCTCGCCCACCGTTTTCTCACGGTCTGCACGAACAGGACGTTTGATGACTACGACCCTGAGTCGAACCCCCTCTTCAAAAACATAAGTGCGGCCGGTGGGCAAGCAGAACGATTCGCACAGCGCCAGTACCAGGACCTGCCGACTGCAGAGTTGTGCTTGCTGATTCGACTTGCCGAATGCCCCTGCTGTGCGTCAGGACCGATATGGTAGCGCGGACTCATTTGAGACATCGAACCCGTTTCAAACGGGCCCACCTCGCAAGGAAAATTCTGGATGCTGCTAGCCGGAAGAGCCGCCCACACTCAGGAGCTGCGCCTGGCAGTGGCAGGGAATGAGTATTGGACCTACATCGTTGCGATGTGTGAATGAAAAAGGCGACGGCCGCCAAAGGCAGAAGTAAAGCTCGGCATGCAGCCTGAGAGCGATGTGCCCGGCACGATTAGGCCTTGGATCGATCAGCGGAGCTCAAGACAGGATCAGACGGGCAGTGCTCGGTTTGTTTGCGTTGCGTGCCTCGGACTCTATCTAAGGCGGGCAGTGGGTGAGCACAGACGAGTGCCAGGACCCGGACATTCACCAGACGGTGCTCAATGTCGGTTCTTGTCTATCTACCCACGGGGCCAGGATCCAGGCACTTGGGAGCATGTACATGTCACGACAGCGGCTTGGATGCATGCAGACGAAAGTGGAGAGGGGGAGAAGAGTAGCCCTTTTGGCTCAAGCCGAACCCGCTCACCCAAGGTAGAGAAAGAGCGGAAAACCTGCAGGGGGGTGCGGAGCAGCGTGCAATGTACAATTGCACTCTTAGCGGGGCCGACCGAGGTGCCCTGCAAGTGAGGGCGACGTTCCACAGGTGCGTGACAACGCGCCTATGGGCTACAGCTCCCTCCCGACGATCAGCCTTCGAACCTTGATCCAGCCGTTCGTGAAACTACCCGGGTTGCATCGAGATGGATGGAAGTGCGCGATAACCCCGCGACCGAGGCATTCTCCCAAGCTTTGAGTCCAGAGAAGCCCGAGACGAGAGCAGCCCCGCGAGCGGACCGACATCAGGAAAGGACGCGCAATTGCGGCATGATGCAAACAGAGGAAGGAACGACAAAGTAGACAGCTTGCACGAGGGCAGGGGCATCTGGGCAGGTGTGCGTTGCAGGTGGGCTTCGGCCCAGTGGGCTTCGGACGTGTCCTGTTCCCAGATCGGGGACCACGCAAAGCACTCGTAATTGCTGTTGTACTGAGGGTGGCCATGGACCAGGGTGAGGTTCAGGGTGGAGTGGAAGGTCGACGTCAGTGCACCGGCAAGCTCAGACAGCAGAGATTGGTTTGTCAAGTGTAAAGCAGGTGCGCAAAAGGTAGATGGCGGGTGCAATGCTGCGAGAGTGCGGGATTGCATGGTTGGGGAGTCACGATGCCGCAGCTGTGTTATAGCACTCACTTTAGCGGATAGTTAAGGACGGGCTTGACTCTTTGACTGAAGTCGCGACGCTGTGCCGATGTCCTCACCTCATCCACTGAAGGCATTTTAGCACGGGGTGCGGGCGGTGCGGGAAAAGAAATAATGACACAGCGAGCAACGAGAGAAGAGCGAGCGAACGCGCGAGCTGGCTAGAGCCTACATCTTAAGGTGGGCGGGTGGGGAAAAAAAAGGTGGACACGCTGCTGGGAGATGCCACCCTGGATATTCTGAAGGCACGGCCCCGTCGCAAAGTTTTCTTTCAGAAATGCTTCAGACAGTGTGTGCACGAGGTTGATGTGGAGGGTCACGAGTGGCAGGTTCTGCAAGGTGCCAAATCGGCACTGTCAACCGCAAGGCCAGCACTGCTTCGACATAATTTTAAAGGCTGCATGGTAGGCTTCTTTTCAAAAGTAGTCGGCTGGCATGAAGGATTGGCCTCGTGGTAGTGGAGTACGGTGACAAGTGGTCGGACGACACATCCCAGGACGACATTGTCGACGCGTGACATGTGTGGCATTGAGACGTGCTCTGAATGACTTGTGCGCCTTGTATATATGCAGCCTTCAACCAGCAACTAACGGTTGCCAGGCGGCGCGGGAGTACATATCAAAGCATCATGCCGCCACCGGGAATCACATAGTGTGTGACGGCCGTCCAGAACATTGCGGGCTTGGCTTCGAAAAGACATGGTGCATTTAACGCAGACAGTCGGGAACCAAGGCACCGCTAGCCAGTGCTGCTGAGCCAACACTGCTCCTCGGCAGCGCGTCGGCTACACCAAGCAAATAGTCAAGCTACGCTCCAACTGAAGCAGCTAGCTCGTTGAGCACATTCGCTACCAATTGGGCACCACCGTGTCGTTACCGCTGACGTTCTTAAAGTCTCTGTGTGTACGAAGATGAACCGTTAGCAGTCTGGCACAGGGGCCCACGGCTTGGTAGAATGCTTGGTCCTGAAGGTTTTGTTTTGCGACTTTCGTTTTCCTTCCGGATACCTCTCAACGGCATCTACCCGGGGACTGGGAAATAAGTTAGCTGCTGTGGGTTTGCCCGGACGACATGGGCAAGGGCTTGGGTGCTGCTGCTAACGAGTCGGTAGCAGAGCACGACTGGTCAACACGGCACGTCAAAGCAGGAATCTCGTCGTGCGCTTCATGGAATCCATGGGATATGCCACTCGGCTGCCTCTTGTTTCATTGCGCAGCCGGCACGCAGCAGTTGCTGGTTGCTGGCTCCTTGGAGCCAGAAAGCTACAGTGAGTGAGACTTCATGCACATCGGCAAGCACAAGCTCTCCGCTGCACATCCCTCTTCTCTCCGACTCTGTCTCCGAAAGTTTTGCAGGCGTGATAAATATTTTTGCGGCTTTTGTCGCCTATCCTGCATTCTACTATACTTGCATTTGCTTGCGGAGCTGGTTTATATCATTTTATTCTGCTTTCGCACCACTGCCACACAGTGAAAGAGCAGCTAGCAGCCGAACTCATTCATACCTAAGAACCATTTCCGGAGCATCCCTAAGTTACTAAGCCTCATTAAGCCTCCAAGACGGGGTTTCGAGTCATGACCATACTAGGACTTTTGGTACTTCGAGCAATTTGGCACCGATAACACGAGCTAACAGCTCCTCCAAATGCGACCGGAATGATGCGTCCCCGAAAAATGCTGTAGCCTTCTAGTCCAAACTCGCCACAGGGGAGCTGCGTTCACACTCTTCATGTCATGTCAAAATGTCAAAATGTAAAGCAAACCGAAGCCAGATTCCGGCTTGGCTTGTTCTCTATTGGTCCACTGGAGAGTTTCGTATCTCTCGAAAGGCAAAGAGCTCACCGAAGAGTGTTGCAGACTTCGTAACCACTTTAAAAGCTTCCGTATTTCTGAGCCCCACGGAAGGTTCTGTGCTTCTTTCCTTAAATTTGTTAAGCGTTGTTTGGTCTTTAATGTTTGTTTAGGTGTTGTTTGATGTTTGGTTCTGCTCGGTGGAGTTTTGTTTTTACAGATGTTTTCGATGATGTTATTGCTTTTCCCGTGCGTGAAAGATCACAAACACGTAAACAACTGCACTCTCAGGGCGGCCCGTTCTGTCACTCAACATGAGCAGAACTCGCGAGCTATTTTCAAACACTACATGCCTGGTCGCTGTTTCCATTAGGCAGACTACATCTTCTTCATTGAACGAGAATTAAAGAGTTCTTGTGTGCATTTTTACTTCATAAGAGACTTGCACTTGCTTGTTAAATGAAGAACTAGCTGAGCCAAACATGTCTCGCTCAAGAAGGCCATAAGAAGACTTCCTTTCGTAAAGAATAGAGCCTTTTATCCAATGATGAGACACACCGCAGCCTATCCATTGATCAGGGATGACAGGGCTGCGTCATAATTTCAGAAGAGGAACAGCTCTTGAGCAATCTTTTGTGAAATGCGGAAGCTCCTGCAGGGAACCTGAAGAGCTCCTCAATCTCCTATTAAGACATAAGATGAATGCTTTTCCGTCGTTTGATAATGCATTTATTATCTAGAGCTCCTCGAATTTCTAGCAAAGAAAAGCCACCATGGTGGTTGCAGACAGATGCAGGCTTCAATACTATTGAGTCTGCCGCTCGCTTTCGGCTTTCGCATCCTAGGTCGCGAAAAACCCCGCAACAGTCAAAACTACATAGTTTGCGAACGAGGGGTGCCAGGATTTAGGTGTTTCTTTTCTGGCTAGGAGAGGAGGTCGCATCCGGCATTGATCCCTGATTTGGACTTCTGAGCCTGCAGAGAGGTTGGCATATCGGCTTTGGAACCTTTGAGGTATTTGAGCTTGCCGAGATTTTCGTCTTGCGGCATCTGTGTTCTATCGCTCGGCGCCCTCCGTTAGTTTGTTTTCAAGGAAGGTGGCAAGTGCAGACGGCCGAGCTGTCGGACAGTTTAGACCGGTACACAAGTTTGGCGGTTGGTCCTTAGCTGCATCGATGGTGTTTCTTTGACTTCAGGAAGCCTACTTCGTCGGCTCAAAGACTGCCGTGCCTATCACTGGAGCCACTTTGCACAATTCAAAGTGCTACCACTTTTGGGCTTTGCGGCTTTGCGCTATTGGCCGCCTCTTGCGCCTGGGAGCAGGCATATTGGCACGCTGCTGCGGGCTGAGCTGTAGGCCGCTGCAGTGGTTTGGCCGTATGTTTGCCGCTGTAAATGAATCTGTGGATCTGTGGCATTATGAGGAATTGAGCCAGATGAGGTTTATGACATCTGTCTGGCGCCTCATCGTATTTGTTCCGAGGCTGCAGGTTTAAGACAGTTTTTCTGCCAGATTCGCAAGCCCAGCATATTCGTGGTTCAGGTTACGCTGGTGTTGGCCAGATATGCTGGTTCGATGTAGCCTTCGTCCACCGAAGGCGGAAGCACTTCTTAGGCTCTTCCATCTGCCGATCGCCTGCATCGAGGCACTCCCTCGCAGCTGCTGTCAAGCAGTTTTCGCTGGTGCACGCCGTGCTCCAGAGAAAAGAAGTTGCACCTGCCTGCAGCTTTTGCTCAGCCGTACAGCATGGCTTGGAGTTGCTTGGGAGAACGACGCAGCTCCAATGCTGAGGTCCAGTTCCTGGAATTCTGCTTCGAATGGCTCCCACAGTCGAGGTTCGCCTTTAGGTCTCCTGATGCCAATGGCCTGAACCATTCCACTCCAAGCAGCCTTGGACTAGTCAGAAGTTCTGCAGGGTGCTTTCCAGACCACCTCCACGATCAGCACCAGCCAAGCCAATACCTCTCAAGGAGCAGGCGCTCTGCTGGATGTCAATCCTTGGGTTCGCATACCGTGTTTCTCGGACGATTACCTGTTAGGCGCAGCCGAAAGTGTGCAAATTTCCCAAAAGGCGGGAACCTGGCAGGATTTTAGCAATCCTGCACTTGCGCCAAGATTTGTTCAACAGGCCTGCAGTCGGCAAAGTTCGCCCGCCGCAGCCGAAAGCACTTCCACGGGTAGAGCAAAGCTTGCAACTTCCAGCCAGAGCCCCAGACTACAAGTTTGAGCTTTGGAGCAGATGCTCTTCTGTGAGTCTTTTTTCGTGTTTTTGTGGAGGTCATGCCACTGTTGCAACTCAGCAAAGCTACCGGGCACGAGCCTCGCGTTCTGTGTAGACAGTTGTTTTGCCAGCTTGCGCTGAAGCCCTCGAGCCAGAATCTCATTTTGTTTGACGCAGTGTCGCCAATGAAGTTTGCAGCATGCTGAGCAGCAGTGCTTGTCAATGTGCGAAAGCTTGCGGCAGCTTCGGTGTCGTGCAGAAGGGTACCAAGTGCAGCAACAGTGGTAGCAAGTTCCTCTCCGTGCGCCAGCCACTTGAAACCTGGCCTGGCCTCCGGAGCATCGCGACTTTGGGAAACCTGGCATCCTTGGGTCGTTGCCGTTAAAATGATTTCAGAAAGCTGGCAGTCGCGAGTGCCTGGTGGCCCACTACGCTTCTCAAACTCCAACGATCGCACGATTTTCGCACGATGCTTTTAAGTGGGGCGCTGCCCGAAAGGTTTTCTTTTTGTGCACGAGGTGAGTTGTGCACCATCTGAGAGTGCTCGAAAGGCATTGCCCCGTCCATTCCGAGGCAGTCCTTGAAGAGGCCTCAACCACCAGCTCGACCTCCCGGGCAGCTCCCCCGTCCTCCGCAGGAGTGAGAGGGCACGGCAATGCCTACTGTAGGTCTTTGTAGCAGAAGTCGAAAGACCGCAACATGATCTTAAATCAGGAGCTGAAGCTTTAGTGCAGCTGTGGCCGTCAGGAGCCCCCGCCAGCTGGCCATCTGGTTGCGAGAAGCAAGAATGCAGAGCCCGAGCCCGCCTTGACAGGCTCAGGCCGAGTGCACAAAAGACTACATCGTCGCCCTGCACGGGACTTGCATGTCGGCAGGCTTTGCGGAGCTTTCTCGGCAGTTACCCGGCACGTTCGGAACTTAAAATTGCGAGTGCAGGATAATATGAAGCGAGATAGCAGCGGATGTGCAATGCCATGCCCAGGATTGGGCCTTTTGGCTTAACTCTTCCGGAGCTACCACCCCTACCACAGGGCAATCTCAAGGCATGAGCTGTGTCGGATGTTTTTGTGCCTGCGAGCTGGATAGCGTCCTGACTCGAGCGGGGGAAGTTCGGGGGACGATATGACGATCACACAAGGTGGTGGTGTACTGCTTTGCACTTGCAGGCAGCACGTCTTGCCGGTGCCGACCACGCTTAGGGGGGTTAGGGAGGAGAGGGTACGGGACTTGGAACCACCAAAAGACCCACATAGAAAAACAAAAAAAAGCGACCTCAACTCCATACACCATTACCGAGTTCTTTGTCCTTAGCAAATGGAAATGGTATTCTCTAATAATTTATCTATAATAGGAATAAGTTTTAGGGAGAAGGTAAAACCATAGTATCATAATGGTCTGCAGCATCTTACGGATTTTAAAATTACATTATACCTATGACTCATCAGTAGGAATTTCAATAATTATTTTGTCCCTATGCTTGCCGAATCAGAAGTCCTGAAGTATTACTACCTCCGTGCCGGTGGCAACTTCCGCGACCTAGCCTTGCTGCTCGAGAATGTGGCGGTGGCTGGTTTGAAGGGTGCGGCGGCAGTGAAAGCCAGATGGAAGCGGTTGTACGAAACCAAAACAGAGCCGCTCCTCGACTGTCTAGCTATTAAAAGTGGCAACACTCAGCAATCCAAGTTCCAAGGATTTTTGGAAAGTGTAGCAAAGGCTGGTCCCACTGGTTACATGTGCAAGAATGCGACGGAGGGCAAACTTGAGCGGGAACTTCGTCGGAAAATGCCAGCAGCCGGCACTATCCGAAGGATGACCAGCGCCAGCATCACTCTGAAGCATCGGCATTTTGCCTTTAAGACTCTGGGTGAGAGCGAGCAGAGCATGAAGGATTTTGGATACACGTAAACAAAAGTCTCACAGTCTTGGCACGGTTGCTTGGACAGTGGCAGCGGCATGTTTTTGCAAACAAGCAGTCACCGCATCTACTAACCAGACAAAAACACACCGCTGCCGTGAGCTGCTGCACCTGTTCCATCTTCAAGCCCAACCTCCTTACCCTAAACCCCAAAATTCTAGGGGAAGACCATTTCCACTTGCACGCTTCAGGGGTTTGGGGTTGAAGGGCTGGGAGATTTCTAAAGGGGTGCGAGCGGTGTGGCTTGGGTTGGATTGGGGTTTTGTTCTAGTGGGGCTTGCAGTGGCTATACTGAATGGGATTTTTCTAAGCTGGGGTCGTCCAGTGGAGTGGTGGGTCTGATTCGAAAATGGTACTGGTATTGAGAAGTCACAGGTATAGTGTAGTTTTAATCCTTAAGATGCTGCAGACTACAACTATATTATCGTTTCACCTTATACCTAAACCTTATTCCTATTATCGATATTTTATTTGAGACGACCATTCGGCGCCCCCTCTCTTTGAATTAAGTAAATGACAGGCCATCGCTGACGGGATGCCAATGCCTGCACCACCGCCGAAGGGCGCTGCAGGGCCAAGGCAAGGTCAATCTTCTCTTGCATGTGCTTGTTGCCATGCTTCGGACAGTCTGAGTTGTCATACCTGAATTTGGTGGACGTACATCTTGCCATGCAGGCCTCCCAAGACGCCTCCACCGATGAACAAAATGTTCTTTGTGCGGCCCCAACTTGGAGCCATCCCTTTGGCAAGGTGTTGCGCAGGATAGGTCGTGGTACTGAGTAGCGACTTCCGCTGCAGCATAGGCGAGCCCTTGGGTACCCAAGGTAACCCCGAAGGGCGTGCAAATGGCAGTGCCGCCGGTGCCAGCATTGCCCAGTTCACAGCCGAGGCTTCTTGCCCTGCATGCCGCTGCCTTTTTTGCTGATGCCTGCACATATTAATGTATCGGAGTGAAGGGAGGTGGATGTTTGAGCTGGGTGCGAGTGGGGTTCGCCTGCTGATGAAACTTGCAGAGAAGGGAAGATAACCCAGCAAAGCTGCAGCAAAGATCTCCAGGACACACCCACCACTTCCAAAGCTGCCGCCAGTGAGGTGCGGCGTTGTACCACTTGTCGCTCTGCATCAAGGCATTGTGTTTCAGGCAAACAACCCAGCTCAGTACTGTGAGGTCAGGCCTGGAGCCGAGACTGCAGGGTAGACAGGGTAGGCCATGGGCAGATCATCTTGTGGACTTCAGTGGACGTCAATGCCGAGGTGGAGACTCAGCACGCGTCCAGCCTCCGCCTCCGCCGCCGCCGGTGCAAGCACTCGGCATTTGCCTTTCGATTTCCATGTGAAGCAGACGACTCGTCACTTTTTCTCAAGGTTCTACTATTCTACTATTTCCGCCCTCCTGCATCCTGCATGTCATGGATCTTTCAGATAGCATGTCGGACATCCAGTCTCCGTCCAAGTTCTTCAGAGCCGAGATCGCGCGATGTAAGCTAAAATGTGCCACTTGTGCTTGCAAAGATGCCATGAGGTGCCGCCCATTCGGTCATTGGGCAAAAGCGCAGGTCGGTTCCTGAGCATGAGCTGAGCATGAGCTAGTCCAAAAGTATGCAACATTATATGCAACATGGTGGTGAGGCATCTCGCTAGCAGATGCTTTCCCTGCAGCACCTCCAACGCCACAGGCTGGTCGTGGAAGGTGCAGAGAACCCCGAGGTTCCAACCTCCTGTGCAGGGTAATCCATCAGCACGAAGCGAGCTAATCAGCGGCATGCTGTCCCGAACCCCAGAGCTGCCTACCGCATTTCTCAAACAGTGTGAAGAGCGTCACAAGCGCAAGCGCTGAGGCCCGGCACCGTTGGACTGGAAAGGGAGCTGCCCGAGGCGCTGCATGTTGCGCATGCAAATGAGCTTCAACTTCCAGATTGTGGAATTGGGTCCTGGCAACAGCAGGTCGTTGAGCCTACACCTCCTGAAGATGCGCTCTCCTGAGCACTTTCCGAGTTTCAGTGTCAACAGACGAACGCGAGTTCATGGAGTGCTGCTTGGATGAGGTTGAAGTGCCTGGTAGATCTGCAAACTTGGACGGGACCCCAGAGATGTAAAGCAGCTTCCAGTTAAAGCTGAGTGAAAGCATCGCAGCAGGAGCAACACCTTTGTGTTTGCAGGTGCGGGATCCTGAACACACCATGCCGGCGCATGCCTTACGCGGTCGTGGATGTGGGGAGGTTATGTCCGGCTAGCCCCTGGACACAAACATCCCTTTATCACCAGCGGGTGGCCAAATCGAAAACCGAACCAAATCGAGTACAGACGCATTCTGGCAGCTGTTCGCCCGATAGCTTGCATTGGCCGTGCTTCTGCTTTGTAGCTCGGATAAAGAGCGGTGGGCATATGCGGGCACGACAGCTGCGACATGAGGCACCACATGAGACTCAGAGGGAGGCCGGTTGCTTGCCGAATCTTCCGAATTGTGCCGTACAAATGCATGCCTGTGAGGCATCTTCCTCCTCTAGCCCAAGCCGCCGGCGCCGACCTGTGATCGCGCACTTTGCTTAGAAGGGAATTGAACAGCAGGGCCAATGCTGTGATGCTGTGGAGGGTTTCGCTTTCTTGGGAAGGTACTCTGGGGTGTGTAGATATCCGCTTTGGAGGGAGATGCTCCGTGAAGGAAGCGACGAAGAGTGCGTTGCCCCAGCTCCAAGGTCTTCGCCCACGACCGGTGAGGTGGATCTGCCAGCGACCCAGCCACGTCTCGTCCGCATGCTGAAGATATGTTGTTCCCATGTCAGGCCGCACACACCGTCACCGATGCCAAAAACACAAGCCCAGATGCCGCTAGAAACTCAGGACTGGACTTGTAGTATGATTTCAGCTTATTTTCTTAGACCTTTTTCTGTCCTTCTCAACAGCAGGCAGCAATTATGAGCTTTCATTTGCAAGCCTCATGGCAGCAAGGCTATCTCTCCCCGGCACCATGAAGGCCCCACCGCGTGCTGATGCCCGGTGCTTGGAAGTTTCTGGTAGCATGTGAGAGATGCTCGACCTGCCCGAGCAGACAGCAACGTCATGAGAACATAACTCTGACCCGATCTCAGGCCTTGTCTGTGCCAAAGTTCCCAATGTGGCAGCCTCAAACAAGATAGTGACGTTCATGACGTTCCAACAGGACAGGGCAATCTGATCTCCCGCTTTTCGCCTCCAATGAAGGCCGATGAGCTTGTCACAATCCATAAACTTGCCACCAGCCATTGCCTCAAACAGTGGTTGCAATGGCTTTGCCTCGGCCGCCTTCATTGAATATTTGCTTTCCCAGGCTTTGGACACCTCTCCGCTTCGTTTTGCCGGAAGCTTGAGGCAATCTACTGCTAGCAATGAGGCGATCGGCTCTTCATTTTATTTCATCTGTGCAGGCTGGATGTTCCAAAGCAAGCCCCGCTGGACGTACCTTCCTCCGTCCTTTTGAGAGTGCCTGGCCCGGTGGAAGCGCGGCAAAAGCTCCGAAAAGCATCCGTGAAACCAGAGCTTCCCCATTTCACTCAGTCTAGGTCCGCTAGTATTGCGTGTGCCCGACAGTGTTTGGATGAAAGCTTGATGAGCAAGATGTGGAAAGCTGCGGGGAGTTGAGACCGGGATGCTGGCTTCCAAAAACCTTATCGAAGCCTCATTCCTTGTCGCTTGAGAGCTGCTCTGGCGTCCAAGCGACGACTTCAAGCAAGCAACTCACAGACATACTGAGGAAGCCTCCCCCACTTGTGTGGGGATAGTCCTGCACCTGGCTTTAGGGTCATGTTTGTGGTAAGGTTCGGGACTCTACCAGGATCCGCGTGGGGAGAAGTTGGGCAGGGGCCGAGAGACTCCACAGATTTCAAGAGTTTGGACAGCGTTTGTTGCAGGACTTGTCGGTCGAGCGAGAAAACGCGGGCGAGTGCACCGGGGGGCGTGAAGTCTGTGAGTCTGACGAGCAAACTAGATTTTGGCCACGGCACAAACGCCATGGAAGATGGGACCAACGAAATCTGAGCTCGTGCATTGTAGAATTGTGTGGTTGGCTGAAGAAGGCCGCTAGAATCCGCTAGAACAGACGTGGTCATGGAAAGGAGCAGAACTTCACCCCACGCACGCTCGTTTACGTCAAACCGCGGTCGGCAAGATGTTGTCAGGCAAAATTCGACATAGGCATTGCTGCAGATCCCGGAGACTCAGGTGCCACAGGTGCAGAAGCATTCCAGCAGTGGAGGGCTCAGTCCAGAACAAGCTCTGTCGCAATCTGTCGTCGTGCAAGCTCGTGGAAGGTTCGTCGGTTCCGCCGCCACCTCCACCTTTAGTTCCGCCGCCCACTGGGCCAAAGCGTCATGGGCATCGTCCTGAATGCCTCCCGCTGCTTCATGCGGCTGTTCAATCCCGTGCTGCTCCGAGGGCTGACATGGCACCTATTCCGCCAGAGGCTGGTGAGCCCTTAATGGCAGCGCTGTTCTGAGGGCGCTGCCGTGCTCAATCGCAGCCACGGAGTGCAGCATCTGCAGCCTGAATCATGAAGCCGTGTCTGGGCTCCCCTAGGTGCGGAAACTGAACAAAGTTCGCCCAGGGCAAGTTTCGACCAGCTCGCCGGAAGCTTTCGCGCCTTCTATTGTTGAGAAGTTTCGACTGCTCGAACGGAAAGGCGAACACCAAAGCCGCCTCCAATCATGCCGGGCAAAGCCACGTTGCCAACTCCTGAGTGCAACGTTTACCGCCTATGAAGTTGAAGCACAGCAGACGGGGGCACCGTCACGAAAAAGCTTGAGAAGACATGTCTGGCACTCGCAGCAGGTTGCCAACTCCGCCCGCAGGCCACAGCCGACACCCTCGCAACAGCCGCGTGCATGCTGAATGCTGTTCTGCAAAGCTGCAGTCTTGCTTGTCTGGGCTTGGAGGCCCGCCGCCGGCACACGCGATTGTTTTGGCAAAGGGAAGGCCGCAGGACCGACATTGCCCCCATGTGTGGCTTCGATGATATGCTTACAGAACAGCGGAAGGATTTTGCCAGTGGCAACGTCGACTTGGAGGCTAAGGGATATGGCTCTGCAGCGCCACACATCGGATGCTTCGGACAGGCAGTGGTTTCGAAGGCAAAGCCTCCGGCACCTCTGGCCGGATCCCCAGCCATCGCAGTTTTGCCATCCGGCAGAAGGGGGGCCTGGCACGTTGCCTTTGTAGGTGCACCCTCCATCTGAGCCGCTGCCTTCCTTTGTCTACCGGGTGCCGTCGCAGGCAATGCAGCTCCGCGCACAGTTCTCTGGCGCTTGTCGAAAATCCTTCGTTTGCGCAGGCATTGCAGTCGATTGCCGATGCAAGGGGCAAGTCGCCCAAGGCGAGCATGTTTCAGCTTCGGGAAATCTGCGAGCCTCTGTTTTGGAAGGCTTCTGCTCTGGAGCCGTTGCCACCGAAGGCCACCGCCGATTCGCGGCATACCGTCCCCAAAGTACAGTAGAAGTGCAGCATAGTGCAGCATGGATAAATTGCCACTGACGCAGGCGCCGCCTGCGAGTGAAAGTCTGGCATTTGCCGCAACGACCTCAGCAACCTGGCCCCCGACATGGCTGCAGTTCATTCTTGCTTTGCAGATGCGGCGAGATGTTGCAGACTCTCAGGTTGTAGGTCGAAAAAGGGCCCGTAAAATCCAGCAAGATTGGCCTGCCGGTGAGCAGGACAAAGAAATACAAGACGGAGTTGGCGGCGATTTGTGAAAGGATTAGGTTTTCCCAAACACGCCAGAAGACACAAGCATGTTGCTGGCTTTCTGATTCAAACTCCACGACTGCCAAATGCATGTTTTCGCTCGGAACTCGTCGGCTAAGGCCTTGCCGAACGTGGCAAAGGAGTATGTTCCACCTGAGCAAGGCCCAAGGCCAGTACCGGAGGTGGTGGTGAAGGCCTTCGACCTTTGGATAGCTTGCGAAGCTTCAGCACAAATTCATGTGGACTTGTGATGATGTGTCGCCAGGTCAGTGTTTGGATTGTCTACGTGTTTGTGTCTGATGCTCGTGCTTTTTGACCTTGCCACTTCTTTTTCCGCCTGTTGATTGGTACCGAGGTTCTGGATTTTCGTTCACAGCGTCGCGATCATTGCCTTGTACGGTGTGTACATGTCAAACAGACATGCGCCATCCTTGGCTGCAATCTGCACAAGCGTACGAAGTACGACTCGTTACACATGTGCTTGTGTGTTGCTGCTGGCTCCCTCCTGGCAGATCTGGGCAACATATGCGGCCACGTTCTGCGGTTGTTTGCTTAATTTTGGGATCTTGGAGAGCGGGATGCCCAGAAAGTGTACGATCATGTCCAGACTCCATGCCCTGACATACGGATCACGCATTCAGACCTCTGTCTTTACTCAGGCATGAAGTGCGTCATCCTGGGGTGCGTGGAGCTGGTCAAGCATGAGACGGTGCGCCACCGAAGCATGCGCATAACTGCAAAGGGGGATGTCGGACACCTTTAGGAAGCTGCACCTGCGCAGGTCAAGAGACAGGCCGAGCTAGATGCAAGAAGAACTCGCATGGTGCGAGTCTCAGGTGTTGTCTTCTCCAAATCGGGGTCTGCCAATGCAAACCTTGAGGCACTTAAAGAGCAGCGCCAGCTAGAGCGACGTGCAAGAATGCAGGCTCATGCTGTCCACCGACAACGCTTGCTCTGCTAGGACATCAAGCCGCTATGCACCCCCGCCAGGAAATTCAGAAGATGCATGCGCCACCTCCCTTGATGGGCTGATGCCACAAGCAGGAGGACGGTGAAGCTTGCAGATGGCCTTGTTGGGGCTTCCCTTTGTTCTGAATGTGCCGAGGTCTGGACGTTGCAGCTGTGCTGTTTTCAGCTGGCTCAAGAACTTGTTGGCTCAGTGCAGACTGTAGCATCTCTGCATCTGATGCACTTGAAAGCATTATGCGCGAGTGATGTTCGATAATGGTCGGCTGCCTTATCTGGTGGATGCTCAGATGCACGGAAGACTTGGAAGACCAGTTGCTCTTCTTCGTGACGGCGTGGCCCGAGCTCAACAGGTACACTGGATCCTGGGACACGGCACCTCTAAAACCAAAGGATCAGCAGGGTCCTGCATGCGGGCGTGTTTCTGTGTTCAAGCGATCTCGTCGGCGCACAGGATCTGTAGGAGCAGCAAGCAAGCAAAGAGTCGCATCTGCTCGGCATCGGCCTCGTGTGGTAGCACGTGCAGGGACGAACTCGAGAATCGCCTGTCCAAATTCCGGGAGACATTGATTCAGTCAAATCTGCAAGCTTACATCATTCCGACGGACGATGCGCACATGTCGGAAGTTCCGCCTGACTGCTTTGCAAGGAGAAGATTTCTGACAGGCTTCTCAGGCTCTGCGGGAACTGCGCTCGTGTCGCCAACGGAAGCCATGCTTTGGACAGACGGGAGATATTTCATACAAGCCAAAATGGAGCTCAGCAGCTCATGGAAGCTGATGAAATCTGGGATAGATGGTACTCCTGACTTGGGCGACTGGCTTTTGCAGAATCTGCGACAAGGAGATCTCGTGGGGATTGATCCATCCGTGCATGCTGCTCTGCCGACGCTGGAGCTGCAGAGCAAGCTGCGGAAAGCCGGCATCGATTTGCGGTGTGTCGAGGTGAACCTGGTGGATCAGATTTGGAAACGCGGTAGAAGTTGGCCCAGCAGCCCAGTAAGACTGCATCCTCAGGCTGTAGCGGGTGCCTCTGCGTCGGAGAAACTGAAAGGTGTCAGGCAAAAGATGGCCGAACAGGGGGCAGATGTCGTTCTCGTGACGGCATTAGATGAAGTAGCGCGGCTGGGTTTGCAAGCCGGTCGCCATGTCCACTTTCGTTTTGGGCTTAGGGTTTAGAGTCATTCCAGATCTCGCATGTATCACTCTATGTTGTGCTCCAGTTCAGGTATTTGTTCAATATTCGAGGAGGGGATGTTCGCCACACTCCGGCTGCCTGGTGGCATAGGGCATAAGCGCAGCACAGGACTGGCAGCATCAGAACCACACTTGATTCTAAGGTTGTTTTGGCCTTTGCCCTTGTTGACATGGAGGGGGCTTCTATCTTCGTTGATGACGGCAAGGTGACAAGAGAGGCAGCTGTGCTCATGAGACTGTGTAGGTTAGGTTAGGCGGTTGCTTCCTTCGTTTCGTCTCTGAGGTTCGAAAGTATTTGGAAGACTTGCGGGTCGAAGTGAATCCCTATGCATCCTTTGGCCAAGCTGTGAGTGAACGAGTGCAATCTGGCCAGCGAGACTTCTGGCCGATCTGGTAGACACGTTCTGTCAGAGGGGATGCTTGGGTATTGCACGTCGAAGCCGTCCCCAAGATGAGGTGTGGATGGACACCAAGCGACCCTCGACTGCATGCAATGAAAGCGGTAAAACATGTAAATGCATGTCAAGATTCTGCAGACATCGAGCTGCGCAGGCTCCAACTATTCGTTGTTCTTGGCCAGTGGACAGGAAGGACCAGCAGCAGCCTGGCCCAGCACGATCTGGCAATCCTCCAAGCTTAATAAGGCTTTAGGCCGAACCGGGCAACCAGGTGACAAAGAGATCCCCTGTTGCAGAAATGCAGGCGCGAGACCTAGCATGAGGTAGTACCTTGGCGAAATTCCCCAGCTTTCGAGCCCTGCTCTAATGCCTTGGTGAGGCCTGCAAGAATCAAGCGGAGATTAAGGGCATGGTGGAGGCCCATCGTCGTGACGGCGCTGCATTGTGCTGTGCCTTTGCGCAACTTGAAGCTATGCTGAAGCGTGGGGAAGTTGTGCCGCTTGCCTGAGCGAAGCAACAACGCCGCGGGAAATCTGTTTTTTGCTCATTTGCCCTGCTGTGGAAAGAGCTGTCTGGATGCGCGAGCGCTCGTAGCCGAGGACGGAGATTGATGTTGACAGAGTTGTGACCGCGTCGCGTGCTGCAGTGCCTGGTGCGGGCCTCAGCCGCCTCGCCCGCCTCCCGCTTTTCTCGCTCTCGGCTTGTGAAGGCTTCCTGGAGAGATCCTTCGATACCATTGCCGGCTATGGGCCGAATGCTGCAATTATCCATTATGTAGCGCAGGCCAGGTACCAACATCTTTGAGACGTGGAGCAGATTGGCTTGACCTACGGAGGCAGAGTCTGCAGCAACTGTCGGCCGCAAGCTCAGGCCTGCCTCGTTTTCAGTTCGGGGTCTGCAACACAGAAGACCGGTAACTCAGGTACCGACTCCATGCTACTGCTGGACTCTGGTGCACAGTACCACGACGGCACGACGGATGTGACACGAACCTAGGCTCAGAGGTGGATGCTCCAGCCTCCAGCACGTTACATCTGGTATGGGCTGAGGAACTTTGAAATTTGGCTTGCCGACCAGCCGAGAGCGCAAGCTGCTGGCATTTCGATCCAGACTTCGCTCCTGCAATGTCAACGAAGAGTATGTGTGGCAAACTGTTGTAGAGCGCATTCGAAGCAATTCGCTCGTGCATGGGCAGCTTTAGGCGAGTTGTTCACCCGCGTTCTCAAAGCACACATCGGCCACGCACTTACAATACTGTAAGCACGCATTCCATATTGACACGCCAGAAGCAGATCTTGGTATGCTGTCGGTGAGCTCCCGCAGCTCGGATTTCGCGGGACTCTTGTTCTGGGTGTCGGTCGGCTGCAAGGCCTTGCAACGGCAACATTCCCTGCTGACGTTCCGTGCTTTGTACTGGATGCATATGCGACCGGCCTGGATCGATCAGAAGCTGCACTGGTGCTAGCTGCTAGCATTCAAGCGATCCAGCTGCCAAGGCCCGTCGCCCTTTGTGGGAGGCTCGTTTTCTGTCAGCATCGCTGTTCGTGAACCTGAAACTTCAACTCTTGATCTTCGGCACTTCGCACTTCGCTGCGGTCTGCAGGTGGCAGCTGATTACCGCCATGGCACCGGGCACGGGGTGGGAGCGGCGCTGGCCGTGCATGAGATTCCGCCATACATTGGCCAACGCTTTGAAGCTGGTTTTGCACCAGCATCTCGTTTTAGGAGTCTGGAACCCGTGCTTTTTGCTGTGATGCTCTTGGCTGGGCAGAGGGGATCGCTGCAGGCCAGCAAGGCAGTCCGCAATGAAAGCCAAGAGAAAGGCAGCACCCAACAGCCAACAAGTAAATGCACCCCTGGACCAGCAAAGTGGAATTTGGGAATAGCTTTCCGGAAACAGAAACCTGCAAACTAAACTTCTCCACTAGCTGGCCGCAAGATAGGAGCCTGCAAGTTAACCTTCCCCACTAGCATGCCGCAAGACACTACCCTTTGGAAGTGTAACAGTTGCTTGTTGGGAGTAGGGGCCTTGCAAGTTAGAATACCTCAACGGCTCGCCGGGACCACTTAAAACGCGCCGCTGGACACGCCAGCACCAACACCAAACAACAAGGCAGCCGTCCTCGCCCCTTCCTGATATCCAACACGGCGGCAAAAGACACAAAAACACGGCAGCAACAAAAGCAGGTTCTGCCTGTCGGAGACTCTGTGAGTGCCCACAACTCAGTCTCTCTCAGGAAAACCGTGACCCGTTGAAGGCAGGCGACTTCACTTAACTTGACAGCAGCAGTTGGTGCATTATGGAAAGCTGATGTTCTTACGCTGTGCTCTTGCATGGTAGCCTGGAAACGGCTGTGAGGCTGGAATGATTGCCGCTTGGTATCGGCTGTCATGCGGGCAGGGGGATGCGCAGTGCAAAGGGATTGTGCGAGTTGAGTCAGGTCAGCAATGAGCCCGGGCTATATCTCGAGGGATGCCTTGGGATCCGAATCGAAAATCTTATGCTTGTGGTTGAAAAGGCCGGGTCAAGCCAAGTGCAAATATACTGAGACTTCTCTAACTCCTTCACGTGTTCCTGCTGCGAGACTGTGGGCAAAGATGGCAGAAGCTATCTGGGCCTGCGCCCGATTACCTTGGTCCCGATTCAGAAGCCCGTGGCAGAAAGCAAGGTTTTCGCCAAGGTGTGCTCGTGGGCTGTTTGCTGCTGCCGTGACTGAAAACTTAGGAGCCCAGTAGGTAAACTTTAAACTTTTTGGCATATTAAACCCCTACCAAAAGAAAAGTTTAAACTTTTTGGGCCAGGGTACTGGGCTTAAAGGAAAAACAACAATAACACCACCACCACCACCAACAATAATAATAACAACAACAACACCAGCAGCGGCGGCAGCAGCAGCAGCAGCAGCATCAGCAGCAACAGCAACATCAACAGCAACAACA